GAGTCCAGGAGGACCCCCAAATTATGCACTGGGTCTGTCTGGGGCAGTGCCACCCCATCCAGCACCAAAGACGACAAAATCCTGGATAAAGAGGAGCCATTAACCTACAGCCACTCCGTCTTACCAGGGTTCAGCTGGAGCCTGTTGTTCCCCATCCAGACCCTCACAGCCTCCAGGCACCGCGACCGGGCAGTCACGGCATCACTTACCTCACCAGGGATGGAGATATATAATTGAGTATCATCAGCATACTGATGATACCTTATCCCATGATGACGGATGATCTCACCCAGCAGTTTCATGTAGATGTTGAAAAGGAGCGGAGAGAGAATCGAACCCTGTGGCACCCCACAGAGGAGGGGCCGAGGATGGGATCTCTCGCTCCCTATCACCACCGACTGGGACCAGCCCCGAAGAAAGGAGGTGAACCAGCACAGAACCGTGCCGCCCACCCCAAATCCCTGAGCCGTCCCAGTATCATGGTCGACAGTATCGAAAGCCGCTGAGAGATCAAGGAGAGCAAGGATGGTCGCTCTGCCACCATCCCGCTCCCGCCAGAGATCATCCATAAGTGTGACCAATGCTGTTTCCGTTCCATAACCGGGCCTGAAACCTGACTGATAAGGGTCCAGATAATCCGTTTCCTCCAGGACCCTTGGAGCTGTGATGCCACCACTTTCTCAACCACCTTCCCCAAGAAGGGGAGGTGGGAGACTGGATGAAAATTGTCGAGTACGGTAGGATCCAGGGAGGGCTTCTTGAGGAGGGGGTGCACCAATGCCTTTTTAAAGGGGCGTATAATGTGGCAAAGAAAGAGCTTAACTTTTGTATTCCTGATAATTTTACTAGGGTTTTAAAAATGTTCCTTGATTTAACTAACTTAACTATCCTCTAGGCCTGGAAAATTATTTAGTAAGAATTGGAAAGTTCAATCTGTTGAAAGAAGTCACATTGTTAAGCATCAGCTTATATTTTCAGTTGTTTTGGAAAACAGATTTACTCATACTATTTGTGCTTCTTCCCTTATGGATTAGAACAGATAGAGGATCTTTCTCATTATTTATGTAACATAATTATATATCCTTGAGATGGATTCTTATAGGTTATTCTTAATTTTTGTATTCTTAACTTTTATGACTACCATGTATAGTTTATTGTTCAAAGAATAAAGTATTATAACTGTACAGCTGTGCTTCTGTGACATGCTTACCTATGTTTAACAGTAACGTGTTTTACTGAATTAAACTAATTTGGGGGATTTGCACAACATATAAAATAGTGAACTAACTATAGAACTAGGCTCACACAAAACATCATGCTAAAATGTAGTTGGCTAGTTAGGAGTATAGTGTGTGTGTTTAATAGTGGTAATCTACCTCAGAAATGTTGCGAATTAAAGTGCAAACTGTATAGATTTCTTTTTCATTTTTGACCCTAAGTTTTCATCATGGCCCTAACACATTTTCTCTGCCTTCTGTTTTAACCCCACTACAGTAGTTGGGTGGGAGGTGGGCCAGGCTGAGAGATATTGACTGAGCTCACAAGGCACTAAGTCAAAAATAAACAACACTGTATACAAATCCTGCCAATGACTGGTCCTAAGTCATTTATTAAGTTTCATAACTAAATGGAGATCTGAACCATTGTTCAAAGCCATGTCCAACCCTAACACCATGTCAGACAGGCTTTCAGAATAATCCTACTTATTTCCTGGAGATCTGTAGAGACATAGAAACATAACACAAAATGAATAAATGCAAAATGTTTTAAGGTGCCTGGATTGGATAGACTGTGATTGGAAATAAAAACAGTGACACTAGAAAAAGTATTTATACCAATAGAACTGGCATCTTTGATCACAAATTGTGTTCAGAAATTCTTTTGATTCTTTAAGCACAGATACTTTCTATTGTGCAGAACAGGACTTCAGTTTCCTTTTCTTACATTTCCAGTTTCAGACATCTGTATGAAGCAGACATGCCTATGTGTGGCTCTGCAAGCTGAACTCATCAGCCCTGCTCTTCAGAAGAGGGTGGTACTTATATAGGGGTAAAACATTCATTTTATCCTAGACAGAAATAAATCTTATCCCTATGATTTTTTTAGACTGGAATATAGAATCCTCAAAGGATTAAGAACAGAGATTACATTCCCGGCCAAAACCTTAAACCAGCACAAACCACAGGTTCAAAGATTTGCAAGCATATTTTCTTGAGTTGTATTTGAGTCTTCAAACTCATGTGAATAGCTGAGATTCATACCACACTGGTACTGCATAAAACGTTAGTAACGATAATGATGATAATTAATGATAATGAGAAACCATAATGAATAGTTTTTTATTCCTGAGCAACAGTAGTATTTTTTGAGGATACTAATTACAGAGTACAGCCCACACTATTTCACACTATTTCATACTATTTTTCAAGCTTTACTTGACAAGGTTAGGGGTAAATCTTAATTAATTTCTTCCCTGGGCCAAAGCTGCAACTAATCAATTTTCTGTGCTATTTTGTGTCACAGTAGGGTGAGCCAGACAAATTTCAAATCGTGCCAATTTGTTGAAATAGATGGCAACATGAAATTGTCTAAGCTTGCAAGGTGGAGAAAAGTGAAAGATTGATTCAAACAACACTGCCTGTGGGCTGCCTTAATCTATGCTCCTTTCTGGAATATCCAGGAGCTTTTGCAGAGAAAAAGAGGTGGACAGTGGAAGGTCAAGCTAACACTGGCCTTTTCTCTTTCATGTTTCTCTTCACACCTGATGACGTATAGGAGTCAGGAAATCAAGACCAGATCAGTACCGATAAACTTAATTTGGGTGAGGAGCAAACTCACTGTCAATGTGTTCAGGCTACGGTTGCTTCTGACCAAAAGTATGCTTCCCAAAACAGGGGAATTCACAGTTTATAATTAGTTAATAGGCAAACCTCTCACTGGGAAATTAGAGTTCATCCAGAGCCTCTGGACCATTCATTCACATAATCATGAAAGAAGTATTTGCAAGAGTGGAAACAGGCACATCACTTGTTTGGATCGGCTAGCAGCAGCTCCATAATACATTATTTAGGAATGAGCAGCAGTTGCAAAAGTTTTGTCTCCATGAGGAAATGAGGAACCATTCCAGAAGGATCTATGATAATGCAGAAGCCTTTGAGAAAGGTTCCCATTTTCTAGTGATGGGGCATCTGCCAGCTAGATGAGGAGAATATGCACGTGAGTGTATAACTTCAGGCTGAGACACTGCTCTCTGTCTGGTTGTCCAGGCACAGCCTTAATTGGAAATGACAATCACCCCTGTCTGGCCATAGCACAATTGGCTCTGGATGCCTTCTCCTTTTCTCAGTTCAGTGGGCACGTGCCAGTTAAAGGGGAAGCATGACTCTCCTGCTGTTGCTTTTAGAGGGGCCAGCAAAGCACCACTCTGAAAAAGGGGGTGCCAAATTCTCATAGATGAACAGAAGCATTGATAACTGTCAATGAGAACTGAAACTATTTGTTCTCCTCAGGACAAAAGTATGTAAGAGTCTAGACTGGGTCAGTCTTACATAACCTATAAGTGTTGAACAAGGGCATAAAGGGGAGAATACAGTATTTCTCTGTTGTTGCTGCTCAGCTAGTGGCAGAATCCTTGCTTCCCCTTATTCCTTTATGTGTTTCCCAGATAGGATGGCAACAGGAAAACTAGTTGGTGAATGAGGAAGGGTATACTAAGCTGCAAATCAGAACAGGCAAACTCTGCCCCCCAGATTTTTTATCAGAAGTTTCAGAAAAATAATATAAACAGAGATAGATAAAAGAAAAATAAAAACAATAAAAGAGTAAAATACAAATAATTTAAAAAAGAGGCCTAAACTGTTTTGGGATATTATAGTTTTCCAATAAATCGTTAATTACTTATGAATTATAGAATATATTGTATTGATTTAAAAGATTAAGGATCCCTATTAAGCTTTAAACTAAGAATACATATTATGGACCATGGTCAACACCGTACAGTATAAATAACTGACTGAAATTATAAGATAAACTGAATCAATATTGAGAATCTACTCTAATGGGAATATCCCATAAAATTAAAATATAGACCCTATACATAGAAAAACCCAAATTATGAATGAGGTACACATCCATGTACTAAGATATAGTCCAGGAATGGTTCCAGTTAGAATTCCCCCACCACCACCAAATTGCAAAACTATGACTCTCAGCATCTATCGCTATTTGTGAAGCTGACTGACCTGCTGGAAATTGAATTTCAGCACCTTTTGGAAGACCACTATCTGGAGAAACCAGGCGCTTATGGAAATCAATGGACTATCAAGAGATCGACAGCATATTTTAAGTAGTATGCACTCATATGTAAAGAAGCACACTTATGCTATCTAAATTACTGCAGAAATTCCCAATCAAATCTACTTTTAACAGGAAATTCAAATTATTTCCTACCTTTTTTCATTCCCATATGATTTCTGAGCAACTTTTGCATGAAGTATCAGCACTGTCTGATCAGATGGGAGCTGAAGATATCTATGCACAGCATCTCGGAGAGGGTCATTTTGCTCTGGATTGGATCTATATGGAAGATAATCCAGTAAAACCATAGGTATCAGTGAAAAGATAACAGGTGTTCGCATTCCATTCTGAACTTCTAAGTTCATGACTGGCAGCTCCATGTAATATACTAAAGCAGAAAAATGAGACCTGCGCCAGGGGCATCCAAAGAGAGTGGCTGTGGTCATGTGATTGAAGCCCTGCCCCTTTTTCTCATGACTCAAACATGTGACTCATGTAAAAAAGTGGTAGGGCTTCAATCACATGGTCATGGCCACCATGTTGACTTTTTTGACAAATGCACACACTCTGGACATCCCTGGCCTTTCTCTAGGAGGTTACTCTAAGAGTAATATGGATGGTCAATTTGTATTCCCCAGGTTTGACTATGGCTCTGAGACTAAAATTGTGTTTCCTTTGGAGTCTCCTTCATCCTTAAATACTAAGAAACAGTAGCATCGTCTCCTTCCATTTCCACTGCTAACAAGTAGTGATATAGGTATATGCTGAAGGTGGATGATCACTTTAGTGACAAAGGCAAAGGCATCATTTCATACTGAACAAGAGAAGGCAGTGATAAACTACTCCTGTATTTACCAAGAAAACTACATGGGTAGACAATATAAAGTGCTGGATGATGGGCCCCTCAGGTCAGATGGCACTCAACATGCTACTGAAGAAGAGTTGAGGATCTTTTGGAATACTAATGCTGTTTATCACATGGCTAGCCTGAAGCCTTCTGGATGTCTAGTTGCTGATGTCCCCATGCGAAAAAGAAAATCTTAATGTGCAAAGGGAGAATTACATTTAAGAATGTAAGAAGTATGACCATGGAAAGCTCAACAGTGAAAAATGAAATGAATTGATCACACATTGACATCTTAGACATCTACAGAGTGAAATGGACTGTAATTGGACACTTGCAGTTGGAAGAGCATACTGTTTACTATTCTGGACACAAAAAATAAAGAAGGGACAGTGTTGCTTTCTTAATCAGGAAGGATATAGCAAGGGCAGTGTTTGTGTATTATTTAATGATTGAATGATATCAATAAGACTTCATGGACAACTCTTTAATATGACGATTATCCAAGTTTATGCTCCAGCTGCTGATGCAGAAGAAGAGGAGGTTGAATTTGAAACTGACAGAATATGCAAGCAAGATGTGCTGCTTGCAACTGGAGACTACAATGCCAAAGCTGAAAATATTAAAGAGGAAGATGTAGTTGGATTGAATGGCCTAAGAAATTGAAATTAAGAGGGTAAATGACATATCAGTTTCTCCCATCCAATGTGTCCTGTTCTGAGTAGGCACATGCACACACAGAAGCATAGCGATCAAATGGGAGATCCCCAGAGTCCCATTTAGCTTGTCTGGATGGGTTTGCTGGTGGTAAAAAACCAGAAAAGTGGCCCAAACATAATCTGAGTCATAGTCTTGGAGTCAGAATATCATAGTACGGTCATCAGCTGGTCTGAGTCACAAAGGAGCAGAGTTTCCACAATCAGGGTGTGAACAGAGTTTCTGGTAGACACAGCGGTTGTTCCCAACAGAACACTGTTGGGCAGTGATGGACCTTAAATGGAGCCTGCACCGAGTACAGAGAATCAAGGACAGAAATGCACTTGTCATGAAAGAAGCCTTGCAGATCTCCTCTGTAATCCTCTGTGCTTAGCCCTATGTGCTCCAGGGCTGAGAGGAGGTTCTGGATCCAGCCCCTCATCTTCTGCGGCCTCCAGCTGACTTGAATGTTCATCAGCCATGTCAGTCTCAGATGCCCGATTGCCAGGTTCCCCTGAGGCTAATATTCATCTGGGGCCTTCTGAGCAGCTTCCTCTTCTGAGTCTGAACTGACCATCAAACAATTATTTCTCAACCCTTTATACATTCTAGACAATTTTTCTGGAGTCATATACCAATGGTATATCATTTTATAAAAATTCTCTTTTAAGTTATAACATAATATAAATTTCAATCCTTTTAACCACATATTTTCCCACCGTTCGATCAATATGTTATGTCCAAAGTTCTTAGCCCATTTTATCATACAGTCTTTTACTTGTTCTTCTTCTGTTTCAAATTTCGATAAAAGTTTATACATTTTAGCAATTACATGTTCATTATTTCTACATAGTTCAGTTTCAACGTCTATCTTCTGCTGCTCAATTCCAAATGTCCTATTGTTGTTGTTGTTTAGTCGTTAAGTCGTGTCCGACTCCTCGTGACCCCATGAACCATATT